TTGTTGGTGCGATGGTTAGTTTTATTTTCGCTTTGATATGAAATAGGACGTCCCCTTCGACTTCTTCATGAATATTATTTTGTAAAAGTGATGTATGGTGCAAGAGCGCACATAATATCATGTTATCCTTGTAGTATGGGTATCCTAATGCTATTGGTATGGTTACTTTTTCTCCTGAATAGACATCAATACACCTGTTAAAGCACCCATTTAATGGTACGTATGTTTTTTCAATCAAACCCGGATATAATGATTAGTACACGTAGTTTTCGAATAACAGACCACTTGGGCGTTATGTCAAAATCACGTTTGTATTTTTTTTATTGCGCGTTTTCTCGCTAGCGAAAATATTTTTATCCACGTAACAGAGAAGGAGAGTTACGTGTATGTGTTGTGTGACGGCTCTTACGTGTACCTACGTACTATCTCGAAAAAACACACATCCGCGTACACGTTTTTAGAAGCTGCAGCACGCGCTACTCCTTATGGGCTCTTGGCGAAAATTGACATGTTTCTTCAGCAGAGAGAGAGAGAGAGAGAGAGGGGAGAGAAGTTGCGTAATTTTTGTTAAATGTATTGCACGCTAATTAGATCCAATTAGCCTATTTCTTGCTCAACGGAAAATTAACGCTAACGGCACGGCGCTGCTGCTACACTACTGATGCTGATGTGCGAACGTGCAAATTTTCTTTCTTTCTTTCTTTTTTTTTTTTTTCTTTTCTTTTTTTGTTGATTCGAAAACAATAATATCAAATTTGTGGTGTCAAGGACAGCATTGGCACACCATAGTCATGCATCATAGAGTCTACGGTCTCCCCTTGGAGTTTACAAATATATACTCGAGATGTACCTATCAGTACTCGATCTGCGTCGATCTGCATGGTCGTTTCACAAGACTAGTTTTAAGTAGTGCCCGTCTCTTGCTGCTCATGACGATGATTATATTATTATACATTCGTCGTACACGTCGTCGTAGTTCGGTTATTTGCGAGGCACATGATATAAATATGTATACGTGCCTATATGCATAAATATATACACGCACATTACGGTATCTTCCGCATCACACGGAATACATTACGCGAAAGAACACCGCCTCCTCCTCCTGGTCTCAGAGTGACGACTTGAAATTATGATTTGGGATAACTGTAAACTGCACTGATTCCGTACGAAGTAAACATGCCCGGGTTCCTCTCCCCCGCCCGAGAGGAGCGGAGTAAGTGCCGCTCCTTCCGATAAGCGCTCCAACCACCGCGGGTTTCTAAGTCGAGAGGAAAAGAGAGTGTTTTTAAGCCTGCGCGTATTATGTCGCGTAAATGCGTGATGAAGAATAATTTAGATCGCGGAATGCGATCGAGCCACTTGAGTGTGGTAAGAGAGAGAGAGAGAGAGAGAGAGAGGGAAGAGGGACTTTCTTTTTTTTCTACTTAAATGCTGAAAAAGGTTACAATTGGGGAGGGGGTACGCAATTAGTCGTTCGAGGCATCATAAACTGGAACGATGACTTTTACGTATGAAAATGTAAAAAAAAAAAAAAAAAAAATCCGAGGCGCCAGCGCAAGAGGAGAAACGCACAACAGTACAGAGAAAAAAATGCAGGAGAGAAAGAAAAAAGGGGAGAAGAGCCAGAGCGGAGGGGGCCCCGGTGCGTATGCGAGAAAGGAGGAAAAAACGAAGGCGTTTCGACAATACGAGACGCAAGGCGCGCGTGTGCGGGTAACAGATAAGATCTCGGAGGGGACGCGGGGAGCGGCGATATTTTACAGAGTCATCGAAGTTCCTNAAAAAAAAAAAAAAAAAAAAAAAAAAAAAAAAAAAAAAAAAAAAAAAAAAAAAAAAGTAATAATAAATTCATAAGTCACCTGTACAGGGTGTGGTGTATATCGTGCACTACTCGGTGCACGATGTATTAGACAAATTAACGCGCTCAGGTGAGCTCTCAAATGATGGTTCGCGCTGCTGTTGCAGAAGAGCGCAACGGAATAAAGTAACGGAATCTGAATATAATAATAAAACGCAAAGAAGAAGGAGGAGGCGGAGTTTCTCCCTGACGTCGATGATTTTTTCTCTCTCTCTCTCTCTCTCTTCGCTCGAGACCTCGTAATTATAACTTTATATGACGTCGGATTGGATAAATAAAAGAGGAAAATTGCGCACCTGCGTACGTTACATACATACAAATATATATGTGTGCGTACACGGTCCACGAGCTTGCCCGATAAAATCGCGTTTGAGAACCGCACGCGTGCACGCGCATCAGGTGTGCGTGTGTTTTTATTGCATTCCGGTGGTGATACGAATTTTCATTTACGCGTGATTAGAGACGCTGTCAATCAGTGCGAAATGAGATTTTCAAAAACTAATTTGAATTTTTTTTTTCTTTATTAATTCATCATTTGTTTTTGCCGTTTATGCCAAAGATTGCGACGCAATCGAGCCCGATTAACTGTATCGAACGTTGTTTGATAAATAAATCTCTTTGCGCTTGAGTGCATTTAATTGCAGCTTTTGACAATCAAAAATAAATGTTGACACAAAAATTAATTAATGGACGTAAATTTTGCATTTCGTTTTGCGCCAATATAGTGTCATAAGTGGGTTAAGATTACGTTGATGATTTTTCTTTTCCATGCCAAGGCCATTAATTTCGCTCGACTTGTGTTTTCGTACACGTATGTGTACGCTCAAGTACGGAGCCAATGGCGAGCCCAGATGTTTTAATAGGATGGAGCAAATGTTTGAATGTATCTCTCTCTTCTTTTTTTTTTTTGAAAGTCAAATTTTTTTTTTTTTTTTTTTCATGTATCTCTTTGAATAAATTTCGAAGGAAAAAAGAGAAATGCAAAACTTGGCGATTTCCACGTATAGCACGACTAATGAGCTACATGTTGTTAGGCTAAATAACATGAAAAAATACGTGCGCCAAAAAAAAAAACAAGCAATTCTCATACTTCTCGGTTTACATTTGAATATGAATTATGTCACTAAATGAACACACGCTAAGAACATTGTTTACCATCTGTCATTCGTCCATAAATCTTGGGTAATGCTCGTTTGTTTTTAATAGCCTACATGAAGTCTCTCTCTCGCGTGTTAAAAAAAATTTTGCTGCAATTTTCACCAAATGGTAAAACAAAATTTTCTCTCGTTTGCCAGAAAGTTGGAAAAGATAAATTATTACCTATGAAAAAAGCTCTTGCGACAGACAGCTACACCTCGGCTACACCGATAATTAAATTGTAACGCTTCTATCGACAAAAGGAAACGATAAATAATGTGTTGCAATCCCCTTGCTCTTCGTCAATAAAAAAAGTCTGCTAATCTCTCTCTCGCTTTCGCGTAGATACAGAAAATAATCTTTTAATTGGGATCAATTAATGCTCTCCAAAGCCACGGGCCATATTCCGTTACGCGCTACACTCGCGAGCAATACAAGGGAAAAATAGTTGAGCGAATTACACCACTACCACCATCACCACTAATAGCAAAGGCGGCAGATAACAGATAGAATTCCAACACTTACAGCGGCTGCGGTAGTAAGCGTCATTTTTCGCGTGTCCGAGTCCATAAGCGTGGAAATGTAACGCGCGAAACTTAACAATAATAGTATAACGACACAACGAGAAGTAACGAGCTCGGATGGATGTAAACCGTACATATACGGAGAGATAAGAGAGAGACACGCACTAGAGAGAGAGAGAGAGGGGGCTTATATAAAATCAGCCGGCGCCTTCTTCTCGGGGGAGAGAAATCTTACGCGCGCGAGTCGAGAGATGATTCCGGTGCGATAAGGGAGGGAGGTAGAGGCGAGAGAACGACGAAGCCCATGCGAGAGACCTCGTATACAAGTGTTAAAAAAGAGCGAGAGAAAAAAGTTTTTTTTTTCAAAGCCAAGACGAGCGACGAACCAACAGCTGCTTGCGCGAGGGAAAAAAATCAGAGCGTCATTGAGAAACTCGACTGCAGCATTTTTGTATTTGCGATTTATGGACGCCAAAGTGGCACGTATTTTTCGCTGACGATGCATCAGCTGTGACAGCGATCGGTGATCGAAAAGACAGTTTTATTTTTCCGAGAACATGCATAGTTTCTGCTTCGTTGCGCCCGTGTGTACATATAGGTGCACCTGATGCTTTCTTTCCGTACATACATGAGCTAGTGCACGTTCTTTGGCTCTCGTATCCCAAGCTCGTATACACACATACGGATATGTATTTTGGCTTTAGCTATTATACCTACGCCTCTATAACTATACGTTCGCTCTCTCCTGTACCAATATAGGTACAGCACCAGTGTGTGTACCTATCCACCATCATCATCAGCAGCAGCAGCCAACTAACTCTCTGATGTCGAGGCCGCCTAACGGCGATCTTTCACGTTTCTCTCCTCTCGAGCTCGAGCACGTTCACCCATACGCGACGACTATTACTACCATAGGTGCCGTGCGGCTGCTACCCCGTGTCCGACGATGCTGTCTAGATTTTCCAGCAGCGCGAAAAAAAAAAAAAAAAGGAGCAGCAGCCACCACCACGCACTGGCTTACACGTAGGTTTACCTACATACCTAATACCGATCTCCTCGGGACGACACAACATGACCTGCAGTTTTTCTCTCTCTTTCTTGCGATCTCAGAGCGGCAGCTTCTCCCCTTATTTGGTAAAGCGGTTCTCGCTCCGTTTCGCCCTGCTCTCTATATAAGTATAAGATTGTTGTACCTCTCAAGAAGCACACGCACATTTAGCCACACATAGATTCCATCTTTTGTTTTTCTTTTTGCAAACAATATCCACCGATCAGAGGGGCTTATAAGTGCAAGTATGTGCACTCGTAGGTACTACATGCTGCGTAAGATCCTATAAGAGTTGAAAAAAGAAAGAGAAAGAAAAAAAAAAAAAAAAAAAAAAATTAAAAGTATACTCATCATGTGAAGACATGTACGTCATCCTGGGCTACTACAAGGCATATGATTGTAATGTATATAAATACGTAAAGGTACTAACCCTGTTGCTCTCGAGAGCCTCGGCACTGTGTTCCTCCTTCTGCTTGAAACAGCTGCTACACTTGCTTTTGTTGAAGATGTTGGGCGCGAACTTGCGACACTCGGCGCCGGTGCCCCTCGCACCGGAGCCCGGCCCTCCCGACATTATCACCGGTATACTTCGCTCCGGGTTATCCTGCAGCTGGTGTCCTCCTACACCACCTTATTCACTGATCCTCTGTACTATGGAACAAACAGTCGGTGGTACTGCTGGCATCATTGCTGCTGCTATATAATGTACAGAGGCACACACAGCAGACGACGAGGACAATTCAAGTGTTAGCTCTACAGCGGTACTATATACGAGGTACTGTATATGGGGTATATCTCCAGGACGAAAGCACACTTGGGTGTTTTATATAATTACCGACGTATATAAAAATTAGCACCAACGACGTGCTGTTGGACGATTTCTGAATAAAAAAAAATATAAAAAAAAATAAAAAATAAAAGGAACCGTCGTCCAATAACCATCAGCAGTTAAACTCTATCTTCTCATTCTTGATGTGGTAGTTTTCTATGATTGCTCCAAACCATAGCTCCAAAAATACGGAGTCAGCCGTCTTCGGGCGAGCCAAGGCACGACGATGACTCCTCGCGCACTGCACGTACCCCGAGAAGGAGATCCATGTCGCAGGTAAGACGCACACGCACCGGTGTCGCTTTGCCGATGCCTGACGAGCCTGTAAGAACACCGAGTATGGTGAGTCCCGACAGATCAGCAGAGGTTGTAGCAAAAGAGAGACACATGCAGCATCATCAGCATCAGGCCAAGAGCACCCACCGACAACACCATACGTAGCTGGCTACAGGGTATATATTATAGTATGGTGAAGGGAAAAAGGGAGACGGAGAGAAAACGGTGCAGGCCTACAGATTCTCTCTCGTATACGTGTGTAACCACACCACTGGAGCGTATAATATATGCAGGGCTATATATTTTATACGCATACACTTGTATCAACTTTTAGTATATATATATGTATATATATATGTATATGTTGTATGCTCATTGAGGTGGATCTCTTGATCTTGATGCCATGATGCGAAGATGGATATCGTATATATATATTACCTAACTACACACGCACACACACACACCCCCACACGTAGGACTTTGATGAGTGCTTAATTCCGTCACATGTCCGTATATTTTGACCAAGCTTGTGAGTTTTTTTTTTAATTACGATCACAATGAACGAGAAGACATGAAGAATAGGCAGGTTATCTAATTATCGTATTCAAACGTTTTCTGATAAATATACGCGGTGTGCGTATACGCGAGAAGCATACACATACGATAGGGCTGACACGCTGCTATACCGCACGGATGCAAGCCAATAAGTCAACAACATTGATCTCCCCCAAACACAAACAACAACCCCTCTTTTATATATACATGTATGTGGTGCACGGTATATACTTGAAAGTATGCTTATCCGTAAAATAAGTATATCTCGCACACAACACAACAAAACAGAAGAGGGTTCGAGGGAAAAGGGAGAGACGGACCGATGACGATCAGTCAACGACTTTCGGAGCACTACCTGGCACTACTGGGCGAGAGAGCGCCTCGATGCTCGATCCTCGATCGCCGCGCTGCCTCCCACCGCTCAGCCGCTCACCGATTCATTTCTCTCTCTCTCTCTCTCTCTCTCTCTTTTGCCATTTTCACACACACGCACGCACACCGCAGTCATATACGGTTTTCCCCGCCATTCCCTCTCGCGGCTTCTCGCGGTTCGCGATACTCTCTCTCGCGTGATCGGTATATATATATATATTNGCACGTAGGGTGTTGTGGAAAAAAAAAAAAAACAAATCGGATGACGATTTCGGACCTAAATGCAATTGTTAACCATTGTCCCCTCCCCTTCTTGCGTATGGGGTGCAGGTATTTCCGCGCGAAAACATGCCAGTAAGAATATATATATATACACAGTACCTCATCGGCCACCGCGCGACCGCGCGTTGTGCGTATTACACTTGCACACACGGACTCGCGTCTCGCAGTCATCTATATAACGCACACCGCTCCTTAATTCGCTCGTGCATGGAATTATAAGTATTATGGGATGTGCGAACTTGCGAGAGCGAATACTTAAGTGTGCCTATGTTGCCTGGAATTCCAAAAGCCGAGGAGTCGGTGAGGTCTACGAGCTTCTGCAGAGAGCTGGTCTGAAGCCTCTCGGTGAGGAGTAGTATATGGAGATTATATATGCGACGCCGGTCGCGAAATTGACGGTGCTTCCATCTTTGATTTGCATTCCAAGTTTCGAAGAGATTTTTTTTTTACTTGCACTGCACGTCATACCTACATTTGTTTATCATAATCATGTGCATCTTTTATTGTATGCTAACCATTAACAATACATTATTTGAGCGCACACGTCGACATCGGCAAGGGCGGGTGTGAGATGCGCGACGAATTTTCGACCGTTGTTCTTTAACCGATTTTGGTGTAGTATCGATGTAACACCAATATATGCATGCTCACGATTCACTGTTGTTGTTGTTGTTGTTGTTGTTGTTGTTGTTGTTGTTGTTGTTGTTGTTGTTGTTGACTGTGTTTTGGTGTAAAACATACGACAAATTTTCCAAGTTAATCACTTGATTGTTGATTAATGGATCGATATAAAACGGACTGGATCCAGATGGCAAATTGATAAATTAGCAAAAAATACTTGCGAATATTAAAAATAAACAGTGGTTTTTTTGTTTATTACAGTGAACCTGTTTTTTTTTTTTTTTTTTTTTTTTTTTTTTTTGGGGTTTTTTATTTCCCCCTCTCGGTGGGTCTCTTTTTTTTTTTTTTTTTTTTTTTGGAGGTATTCGAATCTCCCGTTCACGTGCGATCACTGTTTTTTCGTTATTTTACGTACGGTTTTCGGGGCTTTTAATTCTCTTTTATATAACTTGAAATAAAAAATTCTCACCACATATTTTCCAATGATGCTTCGAGTAACTAATAACGTCGACGTTAACTGTTCATTCGATCAGCTTATCATACTCTTTTTTTTGATAACCAAACCAATCAATTTTATCAACATATTTTGTAAAATTTAAATCGCGATTACAACGTAAGTCAAAGGTATAAATAAAAACTAAGTGTATATGTATACATTACTTATTAAAATACTGGCATGTCTGGCCCAGCTGATCTGCATATCCAGTCCAGTTCTTACAAAATAGGGAAATCTTGTATACCTATTATATACCATACCTAAGTATATGCATGTGAGCTGCAGAGTAGCCGCAGCAGCAGCAGCAATACCTACAGCAGTAGTACAGAAGATTTGTGTGTGAATCGTGAATGTCCGAATTCTCGCTGCCGCTGTCCGGTTCGCGGGAACCGTGTTGTTTCAACATTTATACGGCTGATTATAAAAATGGTAGATGAGGCGACTGACAGGTTTGTTTTGTTGATTTTTCAACTATACTCTACTCGCTTTTGTTGATCATCTCCCCGGAGTCCTTGGACCTTCCGAGAGATGTGTGCTGCTGGAATTTTTATTTTGCGTTTGGCCTAACCTCAAAGTACCACCTTTGTCGAACCCATTTCACCTTCCGCGAGTCACACGTACAGTCCATCTGATTTTTGACCTTTTAGCAGTTTTAAACATTGGATCCTGTGTACATCATAATTCTCTTACACGTCATTTCCGGTTATAACTGAGACTAAATTACCTAAGTATAAAATACACTTGACACCAGTTAAGAACACACTGCACCAGCAGAAGTCCTCCCTTGTATTGCATTATCTTGACGCCATTGATTTTTCATTAAATATTTCAAGTGGGTGCATAATATATTTGAGCCTACCATTAAATACTGATAAATTTTACCTTGCGTCCGAGAGTGAATCTCACTGTTGCAAAGTACACCCAATGCATCTCGAGGGGTTGAGGTATGATAAATTCCACTCAACGTCTTACATAACACCTGAATGAAACAAAACATTACAGAACCAGTGGCTATTTTAAATGCAACTGTCGAGATTAAGTCTGTCGCGAGGAACTAACATATTTTACTTACTTTCTGATACGATTTATATTATTACACGAAAATTTCATTAAAGTATCAATACATATATAGTAATGGAAATTGTATTTTGCAGCGAAGATCACAAGAAGAAATTCGCCATCATCCGTGAAGTGTACAATGACGAAAATGCGCACGACCACTTTGAATACGAGCTTGAAAAAGCCCTGGATTTGGAATGCCAGTTGATAGTCATAGAACCAACTAAGTTGGGAGATGAAACAGCTCGATGGATCGCAGTTGGAAACTGTCTTCACAAAACTGCAGCCTTGTCCGGTCTAGCAGCTATTGTTACAGGTATTAGGATTTTTTTTTTTTTTTTTTTTTTATTATTAGTAAGATGATTTTGTTTTGCCGACTGTATGTGTTTTCCTGTTTCTAAAGGACTAATGTGTGACGACAAGCCATACTTGTGGGCTTCTTTTGGTCTCACAGCTGCAGTATCTTGTGGTTTATACACTGTTTCTTGGCAGTTCGACCCATGCTGCAAGTACCAAGTAGAAACAGACACAAGCAAGCTGCCGAATGCAGAAGTTCTAGCTGTTTTGGGACCTTCATCGCCCACTTTTCTTGTCAGAAAAGATGACAGCAGAAGGAAGATTTTGCACAGTACAGTTACAGCATTAGCACTTAGCATCTGTGCTTGGAGATTGTATCAAGTCTTCAAATGAAAAAATTCCTCTCTAGAAATATGTCACAAAATTGAAAGGCTTTAAGGTAGGCCACAGTGGAGAATTATATGTGATCATAGACCAATGTAGACTACAAGTATAAGAATTAGGGAAATAGCAACTTACAAAAAAACAAACAAACAAAAATTCTAATACATCGAAAACCTCCCAATAAATAACACGTAATCGTCTCCTTTCATTAGTTATTCAACACTCCTGTATTTTTTTTTATGTTTGTGATATTTACGTGTGTTTACACCTTTTAGGATTTCAAGTTGATGTGAATGGTGTACATGTATGTAATGTCATCCACAGCTAACCTGGCGAAAATCAAGTCATTCAAAAATAATGTATTTTTAAAACTGTACAGAAACACCGCGTAGATACACTGTATGCAGCAGCATGAGTTATGAAAGGAATAATATTGCTCAAATTCTTCCGCCTGTTAATTTATAGTTTTATTATGAAATGTTAGAGAAATAACACTAATTTGAAGTTGAGCTTAAAATTTATTCGTTATGTAATAAATATAGCTATTGATTTATATCGAGTCGACTTTACATAGGCACGTAGTGTGCACCAATATTTTATTTACCTTGAAACAACCTTTTTTTTGCATGCAATTAACTTTGTATTACACTAATCCTTGCTTCCTGTTAATGCACTCATAGATCCCATCACAGTACATTTACTCTCTAAAAACCAATTACTCTGTTTTTAATTGTATTTTGTGAGAAAATTAATTGTATTCTTCCTAATTCTTATCTTGCAAGCACAGAATCTCTTAATCAGAAAGCCATTTAATGGCTCTCAGAAATAGAATTTTAAATTTAAGTTGATTCAGTTAAATTACTTTATTTGATTTTTTTATTTTTTCTGACGTCTTACAAAGTTTTAGTATGATCCTATACACACGTCTAGCACAAAGTCAAACGTTAATTTTTGTTTCAACTCAAGCAGTTGAAACCGTACACTAACTTATTTGTTGTGAACGTAAAAAAGTTGTGCATATCAAAATTTTGAAACTATTTAAAAACTTTTTTTCTAAATACTTAATTCTGTCCTGAAATAGATTGAAAAAAAGTAGCCATTGCAAGAAATCGTTGTTTTCCCTCATCCTAATTAATAAGCATGATAATAGTCATGAAAAAAATTTATTCACTTTATCAAAATACATCATTTAATTATTCTGCAATTGTAATCATCAGCAATTACAATTGAAAAGGATATAAATACTGCTTGTATGGAAAGTACCTAATCGATATAAGTAAATTTTGTCACTGTTGATCAGTCAAAATTGAAAAGCAAAGTGTTACTTTGCATATATTGATTAAATTGAAACAAAATATTGTTGAATTACAAACATCGCTTGTACCTTTAAAAGGTGAAGTCTGTTTATACATCTAAACCAACATATTTACAGTACTGCCGTTTTATTTATGTTAAAAAAAGAGTAATGAAAGTAATACAAGTTTTGATGTTATTATTATAATTACTTTGCTCAACATGAATTTTAAAAGATGTTTAACAAACTTCACCATTGATACTCAACTTGTAAATAAAATTGTTATCTGATATAGTTTCAGAGTTGGACCATTATTTTTGTGCATTTATATGGAGCATTTACTTTGAAACGGATTTAAAAAAAAAAAAAATTTGTTTATGAAAATAATTAATAAAATATTCAGAGGTCCCATGTACTTTAGAGGTATAGAGGAAAATTGCAAGCTTCAAGAATATTCATATATATATTTTTAATTAAATCATACTCTAGAATGTAAATAATGAAAACATTATTGATTCCACCTGTTAAAAAGAAATGACAAAAATAAAATTTAATTTAGGAGCAGTATAAAAGATTAATTATTTCCTTGTACCAAAAAAATTACAATAGGCTTAAAAGTTACATAAATAATACTATTTCACACATTGACATTATTCACTTTTTTGTTTAATAATAATTGTACCTTTTTTATTATAAACTAAATCACTTATTAATCTATAGTAAAGTTATTTATATATAATTAAATAGTTCCTTATGTATAATGACATCATTTTATGGTAGTATCCAGTCACATTGTTCCACTAGTTACAATTAATATATAAAACAAGTGCTTCACTTATTTTTTCTTAACTTCTTAGCGCGGTATTTCATAATCCAGAAATATGCTGAAGGCCACATTACTCTTATTAAGATCGCAACCCTTTGTGAGAAATTACAAATAGTTAATTCCTCATCTCCTCTCAAAACAGCATTTAGTATTTTTTCCGCAACTTCTGAAGGTGGATAGCCCTTCTCGGTCGTCTCATCCATAACTAAAAACGGTTTATGAATATACATTCTACTTGAGCGAATTATAATTTTGAAAAAAGAGATACTAACTTCCGTATTTTTCACCACTTCCTGTGACTGCATTTAAAGATAAAGAAGTTTTTATGTAACCAGGATTGACAACGGTCACTTTGATTTTTTTTGTGTCAAGTTCAGCTCTTGCAGTGTCACACCAAGCTTGCAGAGCATGTTTTGAGGCCGCATAAGCTGATCTAAATGGAATAGCTATTTTTCCCTGTATACTACTTATACAGACAACGTGTCCGCAATTTTGTTTAACCATTGACGGCAAAACGGCTGAAAAAACATAGTTTGGTTCATTAGTATGATTTCTTGCTGCTTAACTGCTAATTTAGCGTCGTAATAAATTATTTGTAACAAATTATTGAAATACCTTTAGTCAAAGCAACTTGACCAAAATAGTTAATTAACATTACTTTGACGTCGATATCGGTTTTGGTGTCAAGGATTTCACCCCTGTACGATATACCAGCATTATTGATAAGAACATCTACTTTTTCATAAATTTCCAGAACTTTTGCTACCTCAGATGGTAATGAATGAATCTCAGCTAAATCTATGGAAATAATGATAGGAACATGGGTCGGAACAGTCTGTAATTAATAATTTTATTTTTGAAGTGGAATTCAAATACAATTTGTTGATTATTGTGCAAATTACTTACATGATGAGTGCTTAACAATGTGTCCTTGACTCTTTGTAATTCTGGTTTTCTTCTTGCAACCAAAATTAGTTTACAACCATAGCTGTAAAATACACGAGCTAATGCCTCACCTAAGCCTGAGCTTGCACCAGTTATCAAAACAACCTGTTGACATTAATATAATTTTTATTTGATGAATTATAAAAGTATGATTTATTTGTATGATAATTAAGTAATCTACCTTTCCATTGAGAGCTGCTTTTTTTTTCTTCATTGAAATAGTATTCATAAAATTAAAGAATATCCAAGGGAGAGCTACTGGTAGGCCAATTATTGTAAACATCCACCACACTGCTTGCCAACTTACAAAACTATCATTGTGCTTCATTGTGTCAAGATTTTATTTCTGAAAAGTTTTACAGTTCGTACTAATATTGTAATATGAATAGTATTTTTCAAAAATTAACGGGGCCCTTCACACTTATGTTATGGAAATCATGTACTTACCTTAAATTTTCTTAGAACCATAGAAAAGTAGAAAAGTAACGCTTTACATTTGATATGACATCTGACATTGTTGCAAAATTACTATTACCAACTATAAATTTATAACTTTCGATTGCAAAAAAGTTAGTTATGTGTACCAATACTTTAGGTTCTTGTCTACATTCAATTATGTGTTACATAAGTGCACATTAGGGGAGTCAGAGGAGAATGAAGTAAATTAAAAACCAATGATAGCATCATACATTATTTGGGTTTTGTTTAATATTGTCAGACTCCATACCACAAAAAATATTTTATCATTTAACGTATAAACTAACGTTAAAAAAAAATTTCTACACGAATAAATGCAACGTCTTGTTTTTTTAAAACAAAATTATCAAAAGCTTGATACTTTTTGATAAGTAGTATGTTGTTTTGCATGCAGATAAACTTTTTTTCTTTTGCTCAGATAACACAACGCCGATAAAATATTTTAATGAGACATTGTACCAAGCCCGAATAACACGATATTTTAAAATTCACGTACATGCAATTACTGCTTGCTGTACACTTCCATCACATGTGCGTAAATATAGGTATATGCTTGAACAAATATAATGTAAACTAAATTTCACACGTTTATCGCATGTATGATGCAGTACTTATGTACACATTGTCACATGCTACTGTACTGTACTACTATACATATAGTACAGTACAGTACAATACCAACAGCCAACACACTCTTTAATTTTGGGACCCAGGAATCCCAGGATTCCTGGGCCAGGAATGTGGGTTCTATATAGGTATATTTTTTTTTTTTTTTTTTTTTCATTCATCATCGCCAGTAGGCTCAGACATGGCATTTTTTTACACAAGCATAGTGTTAATTAGCCACCGGTGCACCTGAGTCCTGAGTTATGACCAGAATATAGGTATATTTATTCCGCAAATGCCGACAGCGGTAAGCTACGTACATGTATAGTATACCTATAGGTCGTGGTAATCCGCATATAGTCAGCAGGTGGACTCAATTTTCACCAATAGGTATTATTTCGCAGTTTATTTGTTTACATTTTGTTTACAAATAAAGAAAAAAAAGTAACGTATGTTGGTCAAAGCCATCTAGCGGTATTCATTTTTTCGTCTCTTTGCGAAAAGTCAAGTGTTTTTTTTTCTATGCGTATGAAAAATACTTATAAAATTAAAACTTTCAGACTGAATCAGTCAATATCGGTGGGGAAGGATCATTAAAATATATCTATGGAAACTGTTATTATTTACAGCAGAATCTTACTTCTGGCACTTTGAAGGGTATCATTGTGAGACAAGGATTTGCTAATCATATATTTTTTTAAAGAAATATATTTTATTTTAATAACAGGTGAACAGGTGTAGTTATTTACAAAATGTCATTTACACTGTTTATTAGAGTTACACTATCAGTTTAATAAATAGAAAGAAACTGACAAATAATTTTAAAAAATCATAGATCAACGTAAATTAAAAAAAATGCAAATACAAAGACAAGACTTGATCCAACATCTGGTAAATTATAGAGAAAATATTTTTATAGCTCAAAAAAGCTGTTCTTTACAGATTAGTGTACTATTTTACAGCTTCATGATTATAAATATCGTCACAAACATGTGCTCAAATATTACCAGATAATATTAAACTATATTTGTATAAGAGTACAGTAATATTAACTGTAATGACAGTAATATTAACTGTAATGACAGTAATATTAATGAAGAAAAGTTACTTTGTATTTTTTGTACATAACAAATCGTTTAAGTAACGTTGATTGGTAATTTCTTTTTCATAGCTACTTTTTCCTTTGTCATTTCTCTTTTTTCTTTCATAGATCCTGTTTTTGGTTTACGAACAAATCGGTCAAGAGCAACTCCGAAAGACTTTACAGGTTTTGGCTCCTTGACCGATGGTGTGAATCCATCCACATAAACGTTGGACTCGCGCATTTGTTGAATAAATTCCTAAAATTCAAAGAAAAACAAATTTTAATTGAAAGTTTGAAAAATTTCTGAAAGCACAAGTATGCTGAAACTGTACTAACTCTTTTAGCTTGTTCTTTAAGGGCCTTTTTAGACTTAACAACTTTGGCAGTACCACCTCTTCCCTTAGCTTTCGTTCTTCGCGGCTTGAAGTCTATCTTCTTTGGCTTTACGAACTGGAAAAAATCAAAATATTATTATTTAACTCAATTGTTTATAGCGATCATTGCGCAATCTTGAATATAAACTTACAAGTAATTTCTTTTTAGCTTCAACTTTCTCCTTAAGCGTGGGCACATCTATTTCTGCTATCGTAGTGGTGTCCAAATTAATGAGATCAGACGGAATTTTATCAAGAAGTGCCTTAACTTCAGCTTCTTTTCTTTGTTTTTTAGTCTGATATGGATTAGATTCGAACGCATCAATGTTAGCTTCTCCGCTCCCCGGTACTAAAATCGATGATAATCCTTTGACAGTACCAAATCCTAGGACATCCTCGTAAGGGCAAAATTGTAAATTCGATATGGCCCAGTTCGTTTTGTGTCGGGTATAAGCTTTGAATTCGTTGCCTTTGTCACTGCAAAAAGTTACGTCTGAAATAATTTACGTTGATTTCGTCTGGTTGGAAATGTATTTAATTAACATAGTGTAGAACTCATAAGTTGTACCTGAACACTTCAACGACATTGCCCATTCCTATTGCTAGCAAACCTCGTTGACTGTAAGACAAGTGTTGTGCTGGAGATCGCAAAATTGTATTGTGAACTGGTCCTGACAGTTGCCTAATGTCCCATACTTTGAGTGAACGATTAGGAGCACTTGTTGCCATGTATGTACCATAAGGATGAACGGCACAAGCACTTATTGCTTGATTGTGACAAAGCATTTTGGCCAATGGCTGATCTGAATTGGGTGACCACATTGACACCACGCCCTTTGAATCACCAATGCATAGTAATGCATTACTGGGATTTTGCGTCATTACCTGTTAATAATTAAAGAAAAAAAAGAATGATTCATTATCATTCAGCAATTTGAAATCCGTATTGTTTCACTTACATCAATTTTTCCTGTTTTTGAGTTGTATCGAGATATTATTTTTCCAATGGACACATCCAGCCATGTTAGACCACCAAGTGCTGACGAGGAAGCTAATAGAAAGTGATAGGGTAAAAATTCCAAGTGTGTGGTTTGATTCATTCTCTTTAAGCAATGAAGTTCTATTCCCTGATTATCGTAAATATAGACCCATTCTTTTTGAGCCACTGCAAACATTGTTTCAATGTGTAACCAGCAAACATCGTGAACAGTTTCTAAAACATTCATTTCACATGCTAATTTTTTTGTGACCCAGTCAAAGGCTGCCACATGTCCCTTTTTACCACCAACCACAAGGTGTCTACCGTTGCGAGAATATCTTAAAAAATGTACATACATATTACGTACCACATAACATATATGTATTACTTGATTATTTTTTAAAGTTACCTTAACCAATATGGCCCAAATTCCAAGTTCAACTGAAAATGCTTAGCTACACTTGTAATATCGGTACTAGATACAATATCATTTTGTTTGAATTGAGTCGTTGTTTCTCCTGGATCATTTTCCAAAAAACCATAGTCTTCGGTTAGCAACATTTCAGTTCTTGCAGCTTGTTCAGCCATAGTCTGGATCATCTTTTCCTTTTGCCGTAACCTTTGTCTATGAATTTTATTTTTTATCCCTTTTTTAAGGTCCACTCCTCCACCCAAATCATATCTTTCAAGCTTTGCCTTGTCAACAGGAAACTTCCTCCGGGACATTTTATTCTCACCTTGAAACAAATTAACTGCTTGTCATTAACCAATTTTTTTTTTTTATATTTTGTAACTATAAAAAAACGCTGTGTCTATTCTCACCAAATCCACGTAATTACGTGGAGATAAGGTTAGGAATTTAAAAGAAAAACGATGCGAATAGACACAGCGATAAAAAAATCAAACAATAAATTTACAAACCCTCGTCTTTCATATTGATGAGGAGGTATATGAATGTGAACGTCAGTAATTGTTACAGAGAAAAAAGTCGATGCACTGGTGCACACCGCATTGAACAATTACCACGTGTTTATCCAAACTGATGTCCAGAAGAGTCCTGTCAGCAGAACTTCCTCCAATCTCCAATGCTGTTTTCCCCTCTGCCGCCAGCCGACGCTATATTACACTCACCTTGCAGCTTGCACAGCTTGCACTTGCCACAGTTGCCACTTGCACGCTCTTGATTGATTGAATTAGTACATATCGTACCTAGGTCAGAAAGTGGGGCTATTACTGACCGCGCTATATTATCGGCCGAGCCGAAGGCGAGGCCGGTAATGCGCGGTCAGATGTAGCCCCACTTTTTGGCCGTGGTACGTATACTTTTTTTCCTTACACCTCCGCCGAAAGTTCGTCACCACGGTTTTAGTTTTGTTAAAAATGA